ATGTATCAAATTTAACACTCCAAAGAAATAATCCAGTGAACAAATGGGCAGAAGACGTGAATAGGTACTTTTCCAAAACAGGAATCCAGATGGCTAAGAGATACATGAAAAAAATGCTCAACATCACTCATCACAAGGGAAATACAAATCAAAACCACAATGAGATACCACTTCACACCTGTCAGAATGGCTAAAATTAACAACTCAGGAAATGGCAGATGTTGGAGAGGATGTGGAGAAAGGAGAACACTTTTACATTGCTAGCGGGAATGCAAACTGATAGTCTAGAAAACAGTATGGAAGTTCCTCAAATAATTAAAAATAGAGCTACCCTTGGGGCACCTAGGTGGCTCAGTCACTTAAACGTCTGATTTCAGGGGCGCCTGGGTGGCTTAGTCGGTTAAGCGTCCAACTTTCGCTTAGGGCATGATCTCGCAGTTCGTGGGTTCGAGCCCCGCGTCAGGCTCTGTGCTGACTGCCAGCTCAGAGCGTGGAGCTTATTTCAGTCTGTGTCTCCATCTCTCTCTGACCCTCCCCTGCTCACGCTCTCTCTCTCTCTCTCTCTCTCTCTCTCTCCTAGAAATAAATGAAAATATTAAAAAAAAAAAGTCTGATTTCAGCTCAGGTCATGATCTCACAGTTTGTGGGTTCAGGCCCTGCATTAGGCTCTGTGCTGACAGTTCAGAGCCTGGAGCCTGCTTCAGATTCTATGTCCTTTCTCTGCCCCTCCCCTGCTTGCACTCCACCTCTCTCTCAAAAATAAACATTTTTTTAAATTAAAAAATAAGAACTACCCTACAACCCAGAAACTACACTATTAAGATATTTATCCAAAGGATACAAAAACGCTGATTCTAAGGGGCACAGGCACCTTAATGTTTATAGTAGCCCTATCAGCAATAGCCAAATTATCTAAAGAGCTCAAATGTCCATCGACTGATGAATGGATAAAGATGTTTGATCACCAGAATACTACTTCGCGATCAAAAAGAATGAAATCTTGCCATTTGAAACAACTTGAATGGAACTTGAATGTATCATGCTAAGTGAAATAAGTCAGGCAGAGAAAGCAATTACCATATAATTTCTCTCATATTCGGAATTTAAAGAACACAACATATGAAGATAGTGGAATGGAAGGAAAAATAAGATAAAAACAGAGAGGTAAGGAAACCATAAGAGACTTAAATACAGAGAACAAACTCGGGGTTGCTAGAGGGGAGGTGTGCAGGGGTTTGGGTTAAATGAGTGATGAGCATTAAGGAGGGCACTTGTTGGGATGAGCACAGGGGTTTATACATAAGTGATGAATCACTGGGTTCTACTCTGAAATAAATATTATACTGTATGATAACTAACTTCAATTTAAATAAATTTAAATCTAAACTAAAAATAATTTAAAAAACAAAGGAGACTCTACAATTCCTATATTTGAAGACTTCTTGGTCAGCACTTTACTAAAACAACTGCTCTTGAATGAATACTAAAAACATAAGTTAGAATTAGTCAAATATAATATAGCAGATGCATATTGAACTTTATTATAAAGCTTAATTGTAACTTAGATTGCTGTAGGGTGCCTTTGGATAAGGGCTTTAGCTTGAATAATCATTTGCTGATGATGCACTTGATATTAAATTTTCTGAAAGGGAGGTAGTTTTATTAGGTAAAGTAAGTGCTAAACTCTGCTGCTAAAATAATGGATGCAGCTCATAGTTTCTTCTCAATTGAAACAAAGGAATGACCATAGAATTAACTAATTTTAATGTCTCTTATGCAGCTTTTTGAACATATATTGTTAATGATACTGCTGTGCTCTTTGAGACCAATTCTCCAGCTACAGAAAACACTCAAAGCTTATTTTCATGTGTTTTTTTTTGGGGGGGGACAAGAGGACTGATACTTTTAATCAAGTGTGTCATATATGATTTCCATACAATAAAGGTCACCTCTTTACACAGTTAGATGAGTTTTTACAAGTGGACACAGTTGTGTAACCACAACATAAATTTGTTTATTTGTTTGCTGATGAACACTTGTGTTGTTTTTAGTTCGGGGCTATTATGAATAAAGCTGCTATGTATATTCATCTTCTTGTGGACACATGTATTCATTTACCTTGGATTAATGCTTAAGAATAAAATGCTATATTAGATTGTAATAAAGAAAGATAATGTGTAATTTTATAAGAAACTCCCAAAACATTTTCCAAAGTGTCTGTATTGTTTTATAAACCCACTAGCAATGTATGAGACCTGTTGCTCCACATTCTCACCAGCACTGGCTACTTTTTAACTTTATTTTTTTATGAATATAATTTACTGTCAAATTGGCTTACATACAACACCCATTGCTCATCTCAAAAGGTCCCTTCCTCAATGTGTATCACCCATTTTCCCTCTATCCCCACCATCCACCCTTAGTTTGTTCTGTGTATTTAATAGTCTCTTGTGGTATGCCTCCCTCCCTCTGTTTGTATCTATTTTTCCTTTCCCTTCCTCCATGGTCTTCTGTTCAGTTTCTCAAGATCAACATATGAGTGAAAACATATGATATCTCTGCTTCTCTGACTGACTTATTTCACTCAGTATAATACATTTCAGTTCCATCAATGTTGCTGCTAATGGCATGATTTCATTCTTTCTCATTGCCACGTAGTATTCCATTGAATGTATAAACCACAGCTTCTTGGGTAAATTCCTAGTAGTGCTTGCTATTGCTGGGTCATAGAGAAGTTCTATTGTTAATGTTTTGAGGAAACTCCACACTGTTTTCCAGACGGGCTGTACCAGTTTGCATCCCACCAACAGTGCAAGAACGTTCCTGTTTCTCCATATCCTCACCAGCATGTGTAGTTTCCTGATTTGTTTATTTTGGCCACTCTGACCGGTGTGAGATGGTTAACTTTACATATTGTAGTATGCATTGTGGTTTTAATTTTATTTCCTTAATGACAAATGATATCAAGCATTTTTTCACGTTTATTGATCATTCACATTTTGGTGAGATGTGTTAAACCATCTTTCCTGCTGTTTATTCTGTTGGTGGTCCTATAATTGTATTGTAAGCATTCTTTATGTATTCTAAATACAAGTCTTTTATCAGGTATGTGATTTACAACTATTTTCCCAATATGCAGTTCATATTTTAATTCTTTTAACAGTGTTACTTGAAGAGCAAAGGTGCGGCACCTGGGTAGCTCAGTTGGTTAAGCATCAGACTTCAGTTTTGGTCATGATCTCTCAGTCCTTGGGTTTGAACCCTATGTAGGGCTCTGTGTTGACAACCTGCTTCAGATTCTGTGTCTCCCTCTCTCTCTGCCCCCACCCCCCGGTTGCACTCTGTCTCTCTCAAAAATGAATAAACTTTTTTTTTTTTACAAATAGTTTATTGTCAAATTAGTTTCCACATAACACTCAGTGCTCATCCCCACAAGTGTCCTCCTCCATGCCCATCCCTCCTCCCCTCCACATCCATCAGTCCTCAGTTTTTGTCAGCATTCAAGAGTCTCTCATGGTTTGCCTCTCTCCCTTTCCCCCACCATTTCCCCCCTTCTTCTCCCCCTTGTTCCTCCGTCAAGTTCCTCCTAATCCTCCTATACGTGCAAACATATGATATTTGTCCTTCTCTGCCTGACTTATTTCGCTCAGCATAACACCCTCAGGGTCCATCCATGTTGCTACACATGGCCAGATTTCATTGTTTCTTATTGCCATGTAGTATTCCATGGTATAGATAAACCACATCTTCTTGATCCATTCATCTGTTGATGGACACTTAGGCTCTTTCCATGTTTTAGCTAAAAATGAATAAACATTTTAAAAAATTTAAGTGCAAAGGGTTTTTGCTGGTTTGTTTTAATTTTGATGAGGTCTTTTACATTTCATGTTTTTGTGCCCTGTTGAGAAACAGCCTAACCCAAGTACACAAAAATTTTCTCCTGTCTTTCTCTAGTTTTATAGTTTTAGGTTTTGTGCATTTCTTGTTAAATTTTATATATTATGTGAGGTAAGAATTGATAATTTTTATATGGCTTTACAATTGTTCAACCACCATTTGTTGAAAGATTGAACTTTCTTTGTTCATTGAATTACCTTAGCATCTTTTAAGAAAATCAACTGTGTGTGTGTGTGTTTTATAGACTCTTTTCTCTTGATCTATATTTCCACCTTTTTGTCAATAGTATAACTTTTTGATTACTGTAGCCTTAATCATGAATCTATTCAGAACACTTTTGTGACCATTATCTTATTTGAGCCTTACAACCCTCAAACCTAGAATTGCCAAAGATTACTAGTATAATATACATTTCACTGATGAGCAAATAGAATCACAGAGGTTAATTAGCTTCCTCAAGTTTATACAGTGATCAGTAGAACTGACACTATCATCTCAAATCCTTGTCTATTTAGTTCTTTTCCTAGGAAACTAACAAAACAATAACGAGAGACTGTGTCTGAAATCAGTGGTACACAGTAGTACATTGGAGATATTACCTGAATAACAGACTCCTATATAAAGTTAGGGAGCTCAACAAACTACTTAAGACAGTAATAATTTTGTTCCCTCCCTGGTACAAAATAGCCTTTTTAGTTCTTAGTATTTGGTTTTGTGAATGACACATTCAGCATTAGTGCATCTGCTACTACTCTTTAGTTGGGGTAATTGGGCTTTGCCTGTTCTTAATCCTAATAAAAATACTAATTAGGTTTAATAAAGGAGTATTCTTTTCAAAAGGAAATTGTTTCTTGAGATTTCTTCTGCCAGAATTTTTTTAATTATATTTTTGACCTTGAAAATCATTTTCTTTGGTGATTTGTTTAAAAGTTAGTCTTTGAGTAACAGGATAATTTCCTTCTGTGCTTTATATTCTTTACACAAAAATGTTATTTTATTTACTGTCCTAATTTGATTGCTTTTTGGAATTTTATTGTGCATCAAATATGTATAATCCTAGGTTTGCATAGGGTAATGGCATTGTTTGATGTTTTCTCCTTCAGAATGAAGAAGTCAGATTCATTGAAAATGAGCTAGAGATTCAAAAGCAAAAATACTTTAAGCTTCAGACATTTGTTAGAAGTTTGATACTAGCTATGAAAGCTGATGATAAGGAACAACAGCAGGTAGGTGCCAGAAGAGAATAGTAAGCTATAATGTATCATGTTTCAAAAAAAATGACATGTCACACTTGAGTTTTTAATATTTTTTTCATTTTTATACTTCATTCCTGCTTGGCATCAAGAAAGGATTTGTTACTTTATAACCTTTTTAAGTTTTTAGCACAATATTTTTGAGAATAGATACTTGGATATATGTGTGCTACTTTAGTAGAAAATCAAAATAACGTACTTTGTTCCTTTAAGGCTATACTCAAGTAAGGGAAAATAATTTTAAAAATCAATTTTAAAGAAACTCTCAGAGTGTTTGTAGAGACCAGGCTACCTTAACTGGAGAGACACATATTTTGGAATGTTTCTTGAATAAAAGAGGTAGGGTATTTGCCTCTCTTCTGGGTTTCATTTACCCTCCAGACCTCACTAGATTTCACAAATGTTTGGATATCTTCTATTTCATGATACATTGTTTATCACTAAAAAATATGAAATTACTTTGTGAAATTCTTTGTGACCACAATGTATCATTTAATATTCCCAATTTAACTAGAATGTTAAATTCACCCAAAGGTGAAATGCAATCTATTTTGTTTGTCACTATGAATTTTTATTTACAAATTCCTCCCCAATTACACTTTGTTTCATTTTTTATGGGAAATTTGTATAAAATGTATTAGGCTTGCTAAAAAACTATAGAATTTTATCAAATGTTCCATTCAATACTAAATGATAAAAAATTTGCTTCTGAGTTGTATGCTATCATGTTGATATCTTGTCAGAGACATTCAGTGAATAATATGTCACACAAGTAACCATTGATTTGGAAGCAGTCTTGTAAGCTTTTATTGAGTAAGGATATATCAATAGTAGTGTACAAAAATTAATCCCTTATATACAAGCAAGACTGCACATAAGTCACTTATCCCAGATATCTCCAGGGAAAAAGAATAGAGTCTTAACATCCCACAGTTCTTTTTTTAAAAAAGAAGAATTTACTCATGAAATTCAAACCAGTATGTACATTATGTGTCCAATTTTATAAATTTTACTCTCCCCATACCTCACGCACATACAAGACATTCCAAGACAGTAGTCTTCAGTTACCTTTACCATCTTTATTTAAGCATGTTGCTGTTTTATGTGAGTTATGATAGTCTACGACATGTTAAAAGTGTGTTTGTCTTTTAGGAATATAAACTAGATTTTACATGAATAAGGTGGCAGTCTTAAACATGGTTCCAAGGGTACTGTAAATTTTAAATAATTGTAAAAATATTAGGTTCAATCAGAGAAATAGCTTGTAGTATGGTCCTGGTCCCAAAAAGTTATAACATGGTTTTGAATTAAGAGTTACATGACCACCTAACTAGCAACTGTTTAGGTGTCCTGATATCTAGGAACAGTGCAAAGACTGCATTTTGTTTTCTAATTATAACCTCATCCCTGGATTGGTTCTTTCCCCAAGACTACTTAACAAATAAGAAAAATAAATATTGTGTATTTTACTTTCCTCCTTCTCTATACTTTTCCTCTGATAAAAGACTAATGAACAAAGATATGACAAAACATTGACCATCAAAAAGGAGAAAGTCATACAAGAACTGTACTGAAAGTCGTATCATATATAATCAGCACCCAAATAAAAACTACAAATTTTTATAGTTGAGATCAGGTATAATCAATCTCATAATATAGAAGACACCAATAGTAGTTTATGAAAGTTGTTACGGTGATCTCTTAAGTTACTAATCTTTATGTTATTAGATACTTAGAGGTTTATTTATGGAAGAAATTAATGTTTGTTCTACTTAATAAAAGAAAACCATTGTGTCATTGGTTTCTCATTTTTAAAAATCCTGGGGTTTTTTCTTCATTAATTTTGTTTGGGTAAGCTGAGTGGGATGAGTGGTACACAGAATATGTTTCCCCAATGAAACTGGGCTTTAAAATTATATGACACTGATTGAAATACTAAATTACCCTTTTTTTTTAATTACAAATCATTTTAATAGCAATTTTTAAATAAAAATAATGTTGCCAGCATTGTACTATCATGAGTTTACTGTCTTTCTTCCCCTGATAATTCACTGTGTGATCCCAGCCAGGTCACTTGCTTTTCTTGAAATTCCAATTTCTCCACTTTGCAAGGAAAATAAGAATGATTAATATTATGAAACTTGACATTCATACCCTAGGGCTTAGAATAATTGTTATAAAAACATATACTATATTTGGGAATTACTTTAATCTTCAACAATAGTGACACTAGGTCAGACTCTGAGGACAGAGAGATGAAGGACCTAGAATAAAAATAGTTAATTGTGCGGGGCGCCTGGGTGGCTTAGTCGGTTAAGCGTCCGACTTTCGCTTAGGTCATGATCTCTCTGTTCGTGGGTTCGAGCCCCGCGTCGGGCTCTGTGCTGACTGCCAGCTCAGAGCCTGGAGCCTGTTTCAGTCTGTGACTCCCTCTCTCTCTGATCCTCCCCTGCTCATGCTGTCTCTCTCTCTCTCTCTCTCTCTCTCTCTCCTAGAAATAAATAAAAATTAAAAAAAAAAAGTTAATTGTGTTTACTTTAGTATCTATGAAAAAGGTAATTCTAGCAATTGCCGTAATCCATAGATTTGTTCAGTATGCCAATGTTGCGCACATCCAATAAGATATTAAAAAGAATTTTGAAGTGGACGTCATGCTTTAGTAGTGTCCTATGCTGCCTTGTATATAGTCAGCTACATGAAATGCAGTTACAAAAAAAAGTTATCCTGTGATTTTTTAATATTTATTTATTTATTTATTTATTTATTTATTTATTTATTTATTTTACAAATAGTTTATTGTCAAATTAGTTTCCACATAACACCCAGTGCTCATCCCTACAAGTGCCCTCCTCCAGGCCCATCCCCCCTCCCCCCCACATCCATCAGTCCTCTCTTTTGATTTGAAGGTCTCCCCACTAGAATTTAGAATGTCATTAAGTGTGTTCATTCCGTTGACTTTTTAATACTCTAAGCACATGTTCAATGAATGTTAGTTGGGACACTTCACCCTTTTTAATATGGCTTCTTCACAGTTGCAAAGTGAATTAAATCCAGTGATGTATTTCTCACAAACTATGATCAACCAATATCAGCAAAGACTTTGTTTCACTTTGACTGGGATATTGATAAATATCTATTCTAAAAGAAAATGGCTCTGTGTCCTGTTACTATAATCTAATACCTTGAAAAGCATATAGTACCATTAGATGACTGCTTTGTAAATACAAATTTCAACAAGAAGTTTATGAGTTATTTAATAACATAAAGTAAATAGCAACTTTTCTATCAGATAGGAGTTAGTATTTCCTTATGCAGATTGCCAAAAGTACAAAGTTTCTAATCTTGTCTGTCTGCTATTAGAGAAAAATTATAGATGTCACTTATTTTAATAAGGAGAATAGAATGTGTCTTATTTCAACGGTGGATTTCACAAGTTCTCCAACATGCTCTATCTTTCTATTCCTTAATTCAGTAGTGGAAAATCTGTGTATGTTCCTGTTCTCCTGGTCCTTGTTTACCACTGCACCCAAAGCCCACACTACAAGTAATTCTATCTAAAACTGCCCATATATGTTACATTATTTTTAGTACTGAGAGCTTCAGTCAATCATTTATTTAATTCACAGTTTTTTATGGTCAAGTGGGCATCAGCATTATCAACCACATTTATTTCTCTAGTATGGATGCATGTTCTGTAACTCCAGATGAAAAAATTATACAATGGCAAAGCTTAGTTCATGGCTCTTGGCTTATCCTAATTACTTACAGAGAAATTAGCAGCCCTCTAGATACATAATTCCGCAGCTGCGATTTACGATTTACTCAGCTGTGCCCTGGTGAATGCTTGGCCATCTATATGCATAGCCTAAGAAAAGAAAAAAAGTACTTGGAATTTTCAAGTTGTTAATATTTAGTCTAAAGTAAAATAACTGAGGGGTGCCTGGGTGGCTCAGTGGGTTAAGCATTCGACTTTTGATTTTGGCTCAGGTCATGATCTCATGGTTCATGAGTTCGAGCTCTACAATGGGCTCCACACTGACAGCGCAGAGCCTGCTTGGGATTCTCTCTCTTCTTTTCTCTGCCCCTCCCCTGTTCACTCTCTCTGTCTCTCTGTCTCAAAATAAATAAACTTGAAAAAATAAGTAGAATAACTGAGCTTTTTTTCCTTAATTGATAAGTTCTTTCTTCCACTGAAGTAAAAAATAGTTTTTTGAAATACATTTTTCTCTAAAGGACAGCATAACGGGGCAGGAGTATTTTAATAAGGAATATAATTTTAAAGCCCTTTAGCACTGATCAATGAACATTTAAAACTATTATGAAAATCACTTATCTCAAATACTTCAAAGCACTTGGTTCAGAATAGTTGCTCATTTCCCTTCTGATTTCCCTTTTGTCTAGGGGTTCAATCTACATAATCCACACTTTTAAGATCTAGTATTTTGTTACTTCCTTAATATATTGTATGAAGTTTTTCTTTTACATAAGAAATTATATAAGGTCTTCAAGAATGCTCCATTCTTTAAGTTCATGAAGAGAAGTCAACAAGAGAGAACTATAATTATTAACATAAAATTGGGGGGGGAGAACCTGTCCACATACTAATTTTTAAACATTGATTTTTCTGACTCAGGCACTGCTGTCAGATTTACCTCCTGAATTAGAAGAGATGGATTTCAACCATGTCTCACCGGAGCCTGATAATACCTCATTCAGTGTGTCTTCTTTATCAGAGAAAAATGCCTCAGACAGTTTGTGATTTGAGGGGGCATATATGACACAGCATTTTGGCTGCTTAACAGGTCTGCATTTCAAGATAACTCCATTCTGTTGTCTCAAAATTCTTCAGTTGGAAAAACATATTGTTGAAACTGACATGTTCTGTGAAGGATGGACAAGATATAATGGCTACAATGCAAAAAAAAATGTATATGAAATTTAAAAGCAATGTTTGAGAATTTTTTCCAAACTTATAAAACTCTGGGGGAAAATTGTATTTAATTTTCAGGAATTTAGCTATGAAATGCATAATGCCTAATTTCTGAAAGATTTTTGTTCGATTTTTAAAAGAATCTTAGTTTTAGTAATAGTTTTGACAAGAGACACAAAAATAAAGGTATTTCAACATTGCATATCATGTTACTAAAGCTTGCTTAGTTTTGTTTTGTAGCCATTACATCTTTCTTCTCTCACCTTTTCCTATCATCCACATACATTTTTACTCAGGAAAGTGAACTGAAATTTGAAAACAAAACTTTAAAAATGATTTTACCTGGATGAGTCCTGGGATTTGTTTTCCAACTCCTATGAGAATTTGACTTTAGCTAATGATTGAAAATTGAAGTGATTACTGGTATGTAATTGTAAATTGTTGGCATTCTTCCATTTCCTAATCCAAATATTTGAGGAGATGGGGGAAAGCACTGTGGAAAAGTAATTCACCAACATGAAGTCAAATAAATTATTAAGTGTACAGAAACAAAATGTTGTAAAAGACTAGTCTTAATGGGGATTCTTCATTGTTGCAAATGGCAAATATTGATAAGATTCACATTCTATTGGTAAATTTGCATAACTGAGTTAGTTGAAATGTTGCACAAATAGTATACATTTATCACTATCTTTATAATATTTTTTGGTTACCTTTTATGAAACAGGAAGTCAAGGTAAGGCACTGAGATTTCTTTTTTAACCTAGTCATTCAGCTTTGCCACAATATTTACCTCATTGTCATGTGAAGTTTCTACAGAGCCATCAGCAATGGATAAAATCCAAAAAGAGTTATACACTACTATGGTTGTAAATCACAGTTCTAATTTACTGGGTACTATTCTTTTTTTTTTTTTTTTTTTGAGGTGGGAGAGAGTGTCAGTGAGAGAGGGAGAGAGAGAATCGAAAGCAGGCTCTACATCCAGCACAGAGCGCAGACAAGGGGCTTGATTTCACAACAGTTGAGATCATGACCTGAACCAAAATCAAGAGTTGGATGGTTAACTAACTTGGCCACCCATGTGCCCCTTCTGGATACTATTCTGAGTATACTCCTAAATGAACATGTTACCCAGTTGTACCAGATTGCTATAAACTATAGACAATTCTTTGCAGACCATTCCTTCTGGGGTACCAGAAGGCATTACCAAGACCCATAGAAGGGAAAATATCAGTTTCTACCTGAGCACACAGCATCATGTATTTGTGAGTTGGCTGTGTGGATTTGTGTTGCACGGTTAAATTACTGTCTATTCTTAGGAGATTAATCAAGTAGTTAAATGACTTTTTGGTCATCAAGTTTCTGTGTCATATATTTTTGTAATTTGTAAGTAAAACAAATTTTGATCTTGGAATTAACAGATTCTAATTTATGAATGCAGAAAAACAGTCATGACTATCTTTGACCTTGAAATGTTCCTCCCCACATACACAAATAGGTAAGTTTCATTGATAATCCTTCATTCAATCAGTAATTTATTTATTATTGTTGCCTTGGTACTGCTATGATTCTTCTGTTAGCAGAAATATTTCAGTGGTTAGGTATGATCTCTTTTAATTGAAAGCCATATGGTTCTTTGCAAATAATGTTTAGTACTCCTTGCTGACAATTAAAACTCCATTCAAAAAAGGAGTGCTGAGTAAAAGAACCTCAGACATTAGGATTAAATTTCTAGTTACACCAATTCCTCCATGATATAGAGTCCCTACTATGTACAGCATTCATAAAGTAGAATGAACAAATCCCAGGCTTTCAAGTATCTCCTAGGAGCTCCTTCCTAGTCATTGAGTTTATCTTTCAACTCTAATTTCTTCTGCTTCAGTTTAAGCTCTTTTTTTTTTGTCACTAAGTAAGGATAGATCATTCTTTCCTACATCTTTCAACTTTATGGTTTGCATTTGCCACACTCCAGCAATTAGCCACCCCCCCAAAAAAAAAATCTTTCATTGAACTTCTGCTATAGGGACATTGGATTTCTACTCAGTAAGCCATAAACATCAAAATTAATTATGTCTTTTCACTTTTTGAGAGATATTAATAAAAATTATATAAGTAAAAATTTTAACAGATTTAAAGATTCTGTTAGGTGTAATTCCTAGAAAAACTTCTTACCTAGAAATCTGAGAAGAAACATAAATTATTCCTTTGTCCCTATTTAAAGTTCCATTAAAATAGAAGCAATGCATTTAAGAATTCTTTTGTTTTGGCATTTGTGTTTCAGCCCCATAATTATTTATTTTGCTACCATTAACATTAAACATTTTAGGGGCACTTTGGTGGCTCAGTCGATTGAGCATCCAACTCAGGCTCAGGTCATGATCTCAAGGTTTGATCTCAAGCCCCACATTGGATTCACTGCTGTCAGTACAAAACCTTCTTCAGATCCTCTGTCTCCCTCTCTCTGCACCTCCCCTGTTTTTGCTGTCCCAAAAATATGTAAACATTTTTAAAAATTAAACATTTTAAAAATAAAATGTAGTTGTTCTGTAGCAGGAACCAAAAAAAAATATCTTTATCTAGAAAAAAAATCATAATTGACAGAATGAAATTAATCACCACAGGTTTTTTTTTAAAGATACCAAGGTCAAGTATTAAAAACCTATTATGAAGAAAATATATCTTTAACACATATAGATGGAATTTTTGAAACATCTTAAAGCAGAAAAATACCAATTTGACTCCTTTTGTGATATCTTCATGACTGGGGGGAGAAAAATAGCTACTGTTTCTTTCTTTAGGGCTTTGACACATTAAAGCAGACCATACTATCTGAAGTATCTCTCACAAAGACAGACACCAAGGTTAAAAAACTTGTTTTTCCTACAACTACACTTTGATGTTCAGCTTAGGATAACCAACCAGTCTCTAAGCAACAAATGTATATATAAAGGCACTTACCTTAAATGTGTATTTAAAAATAACCTGAAGATACCTTCCTCATTTCAGCCAAGCTAACATTAATTACAAGAAAATGAGAACTGCAGTTACGCTGGAGAATAGGAAAATTACCACATGCAAGGAAAAGGTCAAAAGAAAAATTGGTCTTTTGATGTAAACTGGGGATGTTTTGTTGAAAGATCAGGTATCAACATTAAGACTTCTATGCTACCATTGTAATCATGATAAGAATATTTGTCATTGTTGGAGAAAATAAGCTGCAAACCAATCATGTCCTGTGCTCTGTATACTACCAAGATTTCAAAAAAAATGTTGAAGAGGCCATTATTCCAAAGGCAGCAGCATATATTTTAAGGTACTTTCATAGTCCACCATATTTAAGTTTGTAGGAGAAAACATGAGTAGTATATTTAAAAGAATTCTAGGCTCTAGATTAGACTTTGTTGCCTTCTGTTTTGGGGGTGGAGGGGAAATTCCATTCATTTCCAAGGAATAGTTTCCTCATCTTAAACTGATAGCTTATGATCATTTATAAGACAAATTCTGAAAACTTTAACTCCTGTCCTTCCTCCACATTTGTAGTGATGGTGTACCAGGAATATTGCCTATTTAGAAACTATATATCAGATTTTTATTCAGGTCCTAATAATGCCAATTCTGATATATAAGCCTTTTAAAGGAGGTATCAGTACGATAATGTTTAAAAGATGAGTGCATGGGTTTATCTTTGAAGCTGGCATTATCCTTGGCAGACAACACTATCATACTCATCACATAAAGCTATCTCTGTGATAAGATGAGGGAGGAACCTACTAATTTGTGAGACTCAGCATACCATTGCCCAAACCAAACTATTATTTAAGGGCAGATTTGCTATGAGGGAAAAGAGAATAAAATAATATTTTCATGATAATATAATTATGATTGTTCCATTAAAGTTTATACTTGAGTATATATTGCTTTGCATTGACATTTTATTTTGTATTAACTTGTTAAGTAATTCCTTTAAGTGATCTTGCATCCCATTTTACTGATACTACCTCTGAAATATACTACCACCTTAAAACCACATCACTGTAATGTGATCTTTTGTAGGGTTTTTATTTAAAGTTTTATAGAGGCAATAAATGATTTCTACCTAATAGACATCTATTTCTTTCTTTCAATGTTTACTATTCCAAGCCTTTGTGTTTTAAGCATTGTTCCATTTTTAAAGATATTTTTCCTCCCCCAAATATGTTCTTAGAAAAAAAGCCCCTCAAATACAGAGGATAATAAGGTAATAGGGTAAGAGAAGGGAGAACATGGAATGCTCAAGTGGAAATTAGGTTGTCTTCCAAGATGACACGTATGTCATCTTTAATTTACTCTGCTTAAAAAAGAATTACTCCAATGTCAATATAATAGAGTGAATATTCTGTAATAGATAACAGGTTTGTCCACGATAGGATAATTAAATGGTAAAAACGCAAGTAAAACTACCACAGTATAAACAAAGAATGCTAACATTTTGGCATTTATTTAAAGTGGCAGTGTTGTGTCTAACCCTGGCTCTCTTGACACCAGTACAGTATGCTTTTAATTTGGGTAAAATATACCCATGCCTTTTTTGTCAACGTCTTATACCAGTTAAAACTCTTTATGTTACCTAACTAATGGGAGAAAGCAGGGGGTGAGTTTCAAATAACACAACAGTAGCGTTCTTTCCCAGTTGACAAATTTTCAGGAATGTTGCAAGGAGAAAAATCAAATACAAACATGCATTTCAAATGATACAAGTCTTTCTGAGATCTACAAAAACATTGACTTAAGGTGGTGAAATCCTTTGATTTTCATAGAAATGAATGGGAATTATTACAAATCCGTTTAAGAC